TTCAGAAACCCCAGGTTTCTTCTACCTAGTACCTCCAACTGTTTTCTAGGGCTTCGAGGACTCTGGCAGATCTCTGCACATGACCAATTGAAGAACAAAAATGTCTGGGAAAAATGTAAAGAGGTTTTAGAGGCTGAGCTAGAAGTGTTGTTAGCGCACAGCTAAAACTATCTGTAGCAAAGGACCACTTTTTAAAAACTTTACAATCTGTTACAGACTATTACTTTTGTAGAAGACAATAAAGATGTTGTGAAAATGTCAAATTTTATAAAAGTTTCTAAACATTTTCATTTGCTGTACTTACCTTGAAATGGACCAGAAACAAACAAATCAGGGAACAATACTGGTCTCTGAACCACTCTTCCTACCATTGGCGTAAATTGCTTCTGATGACATTCCACTGGCCTGAACTAGTTACATGCTGCTACTTGAATGTGAAAGGGATGGGAAATGTTCAGAGGAGGAAAGTAAGTGATTATCTCCATCTTTAAGCCACTCTTCTCATCCCAAATATCCATTTATCTTTTAAGAAGGGTGGCTTTGGAGCTAGCATATTAGCTTAACATGCACACCAGCAAGGGTACATTAGACAAAATCCTATAGAAGGTAGCCTCAGCCTGGTCCTACAGCGAGATTCTGGAGTGTAGGTCATGCCTCAACGTTGGGTGAGCACCAAGACAAGAAAGTTAGGGCTTCCACAGTCCTGCATTTACCAGTCCTTGGTTAAACTGCTGGCATTATTCACAGTTTCTTTCAGTCTCTATGAAGGCAGGTGAAGTGGCTCCAATAGCCTAAAGGTAGTCCCCTGAAAAAGAGCTGTTGGAAGTAAAGGCACAACGGAGCTTGAGGCAAAGGGACTACCCAAAAAAGGTAGATAGATACCCAAAAGTAATGGTTGAAGCACCAACCATATAACCCTCTGGGGACATGGTTTTAAAAGCTGCCTTATTTCTCTGCTTTCGTAATCAAATCTATCTTTCAACTTAATACCTGTTTCTTCAATTATAAGATATGTTCTGGGGATCTACTGTATAGCCTAACACTGTATTGTACACTTGAAATTTGCTAAGAGTAGATTTTAAGCTGTCTCCCACATACGTGCAAAGTGACGGTAACTATATGAGGGGAAGGATGTGGTAATTAATTCTTGTGGTAATCATTTCACAATGGATATGCATATCAAATCATCACATCCTATTTATATACAATTTTGTCTCTTATACTTTAATAAAGCTGGGGGAAAAATAGTAGCTGCTTCTTTGAGGCTATCTGAAACAATAGATACTATCTGAAACAACGTGTGTAATCTGATCTTTTCCTAAGGGCTGAGTCATTCTGTTCAAATCCTACTGAGGCTTCTTTGCTCAAAGCCTTTTAAAATATAGCTCTCTCTCTCTTTGGAATCTGGAAGCATTGTGTTCTCAAACTCTGTAAGGCGGCCCAAATGCTGGATTCTGTTTTCTTTCTTTCTTTTCTTTTTTTTTTTCTTTTTTCTTTTTTTTTTTGTAAACTGGTTAATTCTCTTCCATGGTAATCTTTTTCTGGTAATATTTTACAAATCGCACATAAAAAATCACCAACATCTACTACTGTTTTCTGAACTCTTCCCTTAGAGCTAGAAAATATGTATTTGTACTGATCTGCCTTCTAAGGTATTGTAGACAACAGTATACCCACCAGCTAATATGAATCTTTGGTTATCCAGCCTACTACATGGTTCCTTAATTCCCACCTAACTGCTATGCTCAACTAATACTGCATATTTTAGATTTTTTTGTTACAGTAGGCCACCATTTCTGTTATTAATCGGGGTTAGTGAATTTAGTAGCAAACAACCCTCAAAACTCAGAACCCAGTAAAGGTTTACGTGTGCTCTAACCAGTACAGGGAGGATCTGTGTAATAGATGTGCTTTTGTGCAATTATTTAAGACCTGTGGTTCTTCCATCCAATGTTACTGCCATCCCCTAGCTCCTCAGAATTTTCTGTATGCGACCACTAAAATGTGAAAAACAGAAAGGACCTATAAATCACTGGAGGTTTTAATGGTCAGGCTTAGATTGGGAAATCACTGCCTATGTTGCACTGGCCAAATACAGTCACATGGCCTGATACAGAAGTAAAGGAACTAGGAAATGTGGGTTTCCTGAGTATGCAAGAGGAAAGTAAGATGGTGAGTACTTATCATTGTCTCCACCACAGTTAGGATGCTTTCACTTGTAAATAACAGAAAACCCAATTCAATTGGCTTTGTCAGAAAGAAGAACCTTTCTCTACCCTCTTAGATTTACTTTTTGGGGGCTTGTGAATTAAACCTGATGAAAGGACAGGTTAGCAAGAGAAAAGACAGATTTTAATCACATACTATGTGAGGGAGTTTACCAAGATATGTGACTCAAAGGAGTGGTTAGAAAATTGGGGCTTATATACAATTTTAATAGGTGGACGGGAGGGGAGAGGGCACTTATGTGAAAACAAATGACTTAGTGGAAGGGGTATGGGGGAGAGTGTGCACTTATGGGAAAACAAATGACATTTAGGAAAGATAAATGGGCCCTTAGGAAAATAGATGGGAGATATGATAGTTTTGGCACAATGACTCTTTAGGTGTGGAGACAATTCTCATTGTCTCTGGTGACAAGAGTCAATCATCTCTGGTTGCTGCCTGGGAGGAGATTTATGACAATTGAGTTCTTTTGGGAGGCTCTGCTTTCAGGCAGATAAGAGATTTCAGAAACTCAAATGCCTTCAGCTAAAAATAATTTTTATGTCACAGAGGCTTATTCTGGACCCCTTCAGCTTAAAAAGAAAAGGGGAATTTGTTTGCTCATATAACAGAGAAGTCTAGAGGTAGCATAGGGTTCAGATCGGGTTTGATTTGGAGGTTTATGATGGTCTGAGATTGTGTTTCTTTCTCTAAGATTGATTCACCTAGTCCTTCCTCCTCCACCTGTTAGCTTTATCATCAGTTGGCTCTCCGTAGTAGACAAAAAGTTGTAGCTCTTCCAGTATTCACATTCTAATGTCAAGGCCATATAATCCAGAGAAAGAAAAATCTTTTTCCCACAGTCAAACAAAAATCCTGGGCTTCACTCTGATTGGTTTCTGAAACAAAAACTGGTTCAAAGGGAGGTAAGGGTGTTTCTAGTAGTTTTAGGCTGGCTGGACCACTCTTGGAATTCGGGGTGGGTAGTGGTTATTCCACCCAAATTACATAGGTGAGCACAATGGAGAGGTGAAAATGGAAGCTGGGCAATCACCTCTATCCATTACTTTTTAAAAAAGATTAAAATGGGAAGAATGTGGAGCATGACCTCACTTAAGGAGAATAAGTACTGCGAGGATACTTAAAAAGTAGGTACAGAAAGTTAAGGGGCAGGAAATTGTTAAGTCAGAGAAAGAAACTCTTAAAAAATGATAGGATAGTGTGAACAGTAAGTCAAGAGAACCAAGAGTGTCATGTTCTACCAGCCAAGGAAGAAGTTTTAAGGATGGAGTCATCAAAAAAATCATCTAAATTACTTCATGCATGTTGATTTCATACTCATTGGATATCTTTTATAATTTGGCTTCTCATGTAAATGTTTCCTTTGAGTGAAAATGTGTCACCCAGAATTTTCTGGTCTTCAGGGCAGATATGATTGCCATGAAAGAAAAAAAAAAAAGGAATAAATTTAAATTTCGGCTTGTATATCAGTCTCTAGTAGGTTTGGTTGACATGAATCATCCCCTCGATTTAAATTAGCTCTAGGGTCTAACAACATGAAGTTTCTGTTTCTACACCTGGGACCAAACTACAGAACACAGAGTGAAATCTTCAGTTCATTTTCATTACCATAACATGCTTTGCAAACCATTAGAACTATATTTGAGCTACAATGACTTAAGAATATTGCAAGATTTTTGAACTTCTAGATTTCCAGTTTGGTATTTTGATTATTCTCTCTTCCTGTAAAGCTTACTTTCAGGGCAAGAAAGAGAAAGCTGGATAGATTAACTTGTGCACAGTTTGGGGGACTCTAGATCATGGTTACCTGTAGCCTTTCTGGGTCTAGGAATAATTTAAGTGGTCTTTTGGGGAGATTGATTTGGGGATGGTATTCAATAAGGAAGTGACTGTAATGTTAAACACCATAGAAAAGCTGGGGGGAACGTCTGGATGAGAAAGAAGAAACTAAATCAAACAGGAAGAATTAGTACAATTCAGTGATGGGTTTGTGCAGTGATTGGTTTGTGTTAAAATCTAAGGAAGCAAGAGTGATCTTGGGAAGACAACTGGGAGAGGAAACTTCCCTTACAGATCAACATATAAGACGTAGCAAGTATTTATGCAGGCAGTATCTTGCTAAGTGTTTTGTAAATGCACTTAATCTTTTTAAAAAAGTGATTACAGGGATCCAAATGGCAGAGTTAAGAATTAAAGGAGACACAAGTGAAATCGTATGTTTGAAACAAATATGGGAAAATTAGTCAATTATTAAAAGAGCCCGACTTTACTTATCCTCTGGCGTAGGTCTTCGCCCCTCCTGCACAGTATTTCTTTGTAATGGTGCCTCTCTTCCTAGACCCTCTTACTTTCCAAGCCTGCGAATACTAGCTATTACACACAGGGAGGACCCGGAACTCACGTTCCCATGCCTACACCTACGGTGCAGCCCTGACTTCGGGATCGCTGCCTCCCGCCCGCCGGCAAGGAACAAGCAAGTGACCACCCACAGTCTCCCCAGGGCGAGCCCTGGCCCTCGCCCGCGGCGGGCGCGTGGCGGGGCGCCCCGGCCTTCGAGGGCCTGCGGCGCGACGCACATGCCCGCGCCCGCCTCCCGCGTCGGCGAGAAGAAAGGGAACCCGGACGCGCGGAGGCTGACCCGGAGCCTACCCATGAGGCAGCGCGCCGGCTCCACGAGAACCCCCCCACCCCCTTCCCACGGCTCAGCTGCTGCTCCGCAATGGGAGCCGCCGCCGTCGCCGCTGTGTAGTTTTTCGTGCTCCTCCTTTTCCTCCTCCTCTTTCTCCTCCTCCTCAGGGCCCCAGTCAGGCCGATCCGCTCCGCTCACGGTAAGCGCCCCCCGCCCCCGCCCGCCCCGCGCTGCAGCAGGCAGAGGCCCTCCCGCGCGGCCTGCGCCGCCTCACTCCGGGGGCGCTGGGCCGGGGGTGTCGAGGCCGGCGCGGTTTGCCGAGAGCGCCCAGGGCGCGGGGGAGGGGACCGGCTGCGCGGCGGCGGCCGGACGGCCATCTTGCGCCGGCCCCGGCGGGGGAGGGATCCCGGCGCGACGCGGCAGACGGCTTGGTGCGGCAGGCCGGAGCCGCGCAGGCCTCCGCCACCTCTTCCTCCGTCTCCTCCTCCGCCTCCTTCGCCTCCTACGCCTCCTGCACCTCCTCCACCTCGGCACCCAGGGCCTGTGCGCCTGTTTGCCCCCAGCCTGGGTTTGGCTTTTCTCTCCACTGCTCCCCTTGGTCTGCCGTACATTTTGTGCCAATGTTTGGCGGGGACCCATGCTTCCCCAACAACAACGCTCCCCGGAGTCTCTTCATGGTAGACGGAGACCGGAGGGGGTTCCGAACTTCCAGGCATCCGGGGCCCGAGGGCCCCTGTCCCCCCCTACCCTCCACCTCCCGCCCAGGTGACCAGTCATCCCACGCTCACACCCTCGTTCTTGTCAAAGGGACTTCCCTGCTCTGCCCGTTATTGTCTACAGAAGGGCCCTGAGGAGAAACGTGGAGTTGGATACACAATTTACTGACCGAGTTTTCAGGTTTCACTTAATGAGACGGAAAGAATGAGCTCACTCTGAGGTTTTATCCTGCTCTACAGATGGAGGGAGTTCTTCCCAACTTAGCTCAAGTTTGAAGGCTTTTAAGGAGAAATCTTGCTAGAGAGGAGAAACCTCAAAGGGTACCCGCTTCTGCAAGCACGGGAAGACCTTGGTCCAAGGGGTTCTCTTTGTTTGCAAAGATTTGTTTTTGAAAATTCTGTGAACGTAAACTTCATTGTTTTCAGATTTGGACTGGGTCTTAAGAATTTGACGTCTTTGAGTGCCATTAGACATAAAATTGAAACCTAGGAGGAGAGTTTTAAAGTAAAAAAGCCACCTCCTAGCATTTGTGATAAGTCCTGCCTTGGGGGATTCGTGACAACTCAGGCTAAGCGGAAACTTGCTGTGCCATGGAAGGCACAGGTTTGCTTGGAGAATTGTTAGGGCTGTGTGCTGTTAATGTTTAAAACATCAGTACAAATACTGTTATAATTGTATCTTGCATTTGTATCTGCCATCGATACGCTTGATTTATATCTCTAGACCCCTTTTGGACTATTCTGTGTTTATGGAACTGTTTTGAAGATGAGGAAAGAGAGCCTCAGGGAGACGTCTTTAATGAGGTCATGTCTAGGAAGTGATAGAACCATTTCTAGAACCTTAGGTCTTCTGATTTCTCATTCAGTGCTCAGTTCACTATATTTCTTTCGTGGGAATAAGCTGACTGAGGAGAAGCAGGGAGGTTCATCTACAAAATTTAAATACTCAACTGCTCCTTTTACATTTTTAAGAGTTTGTGCTTTTAGCTTTTTAACTTTTATTACTGAAGTTTTCATGTTAATTTTTTCCCCCAAAGTACTGAAAAATTGAAGAATAGCCCATTTGCACATTCATATGTACACCACCTAGTTTTAAAAGTGTTGCCATCTTGCCACATTTCCTTTATCTGCTTATCTTACATGTTTTTTGGTGAACATTTTCAGAGCACATTGCAGGTATCATGACAGTTCACACCTAAGTCCTGTTGATGTGTCTATGTGGATGTCATAAGAATAAGACCAATTTTCTGTATAAGCACAATACTGTAATTGTACTGAAGTATAATCTCTACAGTCTAATATAGATATGTAGTATGTATTCACATTTTCCCCTTTGTCCCGAAAATGTCCTTTTTAGTCATTTATTTTGGAACCAGTATCCAATCATGCACGTTTGTTTCTGTTAGTTTCTTTTAATTTAGTGTAGTTCCCCCCCCACTCTCTCTCTTTTTTTTTTTTTTTTTTGGATGACATTGACCTTTTGAAGAGACCAGGCTACCAGTAGGCTTGTAGAATAACCCCCATTCTGTATTTTACTGACCGTTTCCTCTTCATTAAGTTTAAATTATACCCTCTATCCCTGTATTTTCTGTAAACTTGAAGTTAGATCTGAAGGCTTGTGTAGATCAGGCTTACTATTTTTGGCAAAAATACTCAAGTCATGCAGTGTACTTCACATTATACAACATCAGAAGGCACATAAAGGAGGGTTATATGTTACCCTATTAGTAATCCTAAATTTGATCTCTCCAATAAAACGGTGACAGACTATCTTTCCACGCTAAGCTTTTTCTTTTGCAATTAGCAAGTAATGTAGGGAGTGATATTTTGGCATTAGTATTGGCATGAATTTACCTGCAGTAATCTGATAATGAAATCACTGGGAGCAATCCTCTAGAAATGGGGGTGAAAGAAAGTTGGATAGGACCAACTTATCAGTTTAGGGAACTTTGAATTGCTGCCATCCATTGCCATTGGAGCCCGACATCAGAGATGTCACAGACTTCACCTGCTTTCCAAGTTTGTTCAGGGCCCTTGTAGCAGTAGTGAGCTGTGATTAGGAAAGTTCTTAGTTAAATGTTGGAGAACTACAAATCTCAGCCTTCCCATTTCAACCATTTGTACCAGTTAACACTGTCTAGTCCAGTTCTGCTTCTTGAGTCCAGTGTTTTACTACTCTGAATTGGCGTTTTTAGTAGGAGACAAGAAGGCAAAGGAAAAGAACATATAATTTTTGTATACTCCTCTCTCCACACTTGCTTTATTTATTCAAGAGAACACTTAGAACCATACCAACATTTTTTTTCCCCCCTGTACAAATTCAGCAGGGGATGTATCTGAATGGAGAAACAATTCTGGTAAATAGAAAGTAAACTATAGTTTTAGGTGACAGGAAATTGGAGATTATTGACAACATATTTTGTTACGCTTCAAAAGTAACTTTTGAAAGGTGAGATATATTTATTTATACATGTTTACTAATTAAATATATAATCCTGCTTCAGAGGACTCAAAAAAATCTGATTTCTCACTCAGATTATTTTAAAGATATAAATAATGATATACTTGGTAATTTGTATCAAACGTGTATGTGGAATTTTTATTCGTTTCTACAAAGTAATTTTCTTTTAAGGACTCAACTCATAACAGGAAAAATAGCTTACTGCTATTCACCATCTAGATTTAAAGGAACTTTTTTTTTTACACTTTAAATTATTTTATATAAATATCATTATATAACTTATAGAAAAATAAAGGGATTATGTAAAACAACTCATGAGAGCTTTTAATTAGAATTTAAACATAATCCCTTTGTATATATCTTGACACATGAAAAACAAATATATATCCTGCATCTAATTGCATACCACCCCTACAGTGAATACGCATACTTCTCTAGTTTTTATATGCACACAAAGAACATCTTCCTTTATTCTTCCCACTTTCAGGATAAAAAATGTGCAAAAAAATGTTGTGGTTGAAGGGTTAGACAAAATTCTTTCCCTCGTTTCCACAAGTTCTTTTCCTAGTTGCATGAGCAAGAGTCTTCTTGGTAATTTAAACTTTTCCTGTGTCATTCCTTTGCAAGTGATTTTCTAGTCATTCCTTTCGGTATAGGTTCTGACCCTCTTAATGAGTGTATCTACCTCTCCTGTAGTTTTTTCATTATACGGCTCTCCATGTTAATTTATGCAAAGTTTTTTTTTTTTTTTTTTTTTTAAGATTTATTTATTTATTTTTAGAGAGTGTGCAAGTTGGGGGAGAGGGAGAGAAAGAATCCTCAAGCAGACTCCCTGCTAAGTGCAGGGCTTGGTCCCAGTACCCTGATCTCATGACCTGAGCCAAAATCAAGAGCTGGTTGCTCAGTGGGCTGAGCCACCCAGGCACCCCTGAAAGGGTTTTTGAATTCATTTATGCTTGGGAATGCATTGAGCTGAGAAGAAAAACTAGTTTTTCTTAGGAAAAGTATTTCTTCATCAAATATGTATGAAGTCCAGGTTATGTGCAGTTGACTTTTCTTGCTTCTCATTTGTGAAAATCCATAGAAGTTCAACCCTGTTTTTCCTGATATTGCCAGATCAAGAAGATTTCTTGCTGGGTAATGTTTAGCCAGTTCTACACTTACAAAAATTTGTCACAAGTTGTATTCCTGACAGAAATTTTAAATTCTTTTGTCCATTCTTGCAATTTTTGTATTAATCTTGGTTCTACTCTTTCTCCTTTTCTGAAGCTCTGTGTAGATTTATATCTTTCAAGCTTAGGATGTTTCACTGTCCCATGTTGTCCAGATTTTTATATCTGTTTTCCGGGTTTTGAAGGTGTATATATACTTGAAATGGGCAACATTGAATGTGACTAACTACTTATCAGCTGTCATGTGAACCTGGGATGTTTCCATCTTATAAATATTGATTTGATATTTAAAATACTAATGATAAATTCTAGCTTATCATTCCAGGGCTTTTTTGCATGTGTATCATTAAATGCAATACTTAAAGAATTTTTCGAAACTTTGAGGGTTCTTAATTTTGTTGAAGGGAAGCTGGTGATCTTCTTTGCTTCAAAATTGCAAGATATTTTCAGTTCTAGATTTGTAGATGCCAGTTAGCATAACCAATCCAGTGAATTTAAAAATTTCCCACATCATCTGTTTCCTTCTAGTCACCATCGTATATACCTGCATTCAACACTTGTCCAACTATGAACTGTATCAAGTTACTCTCCTCTGAAGATTCAGTCTGAGATTTCCCAGATTTTGTCTAATATTAAGTCTAAGGTGCTTGCTATCTGTCTTTGGGTTCATTTTTAGGTTCATCTGATAATGGTGAAATGTGACCTCTGCCAGTTTCCTTTTGTTCCAAAATGGGCAGAAAATGAAAGTTCTGAGTTCTTAACTGTATCCAGTGAAAACTAAAGACAAATGAAGATCAGCATATGCTGTGCTAACATATGTCACTTTGACCTAAGGATTATTTTGAGTAGA